AAAAACCTGACAAACTATGCTTCCAAAGCAGCAAAGTTAGATGGCGCATGGTCCTTGAAGTGCTGTTTCCAGTCTCTGTAGTTCCGCAAGACGCTGACAAACACTGAACCGTTGATCCACTTCTTCAGAGACTCCTTGCACAGCTCATCCCTGATCAAAGTACATGCACTTTCAGCATCGAGTAGGTCTGTGGATCGCCCCAACCGGCGGCTGAGTAGCCCCCACAATTGATCTTGGCAAGATTTGTTTGGAGAAATAACCTTCATCTATGAATTGTTTCATCGATGAATGTTTGGAATCATCTCCCAAAACTTATGAGGGAAGAGCTTCAAAACAAATGCTGCCAGAAGGTCTATTTGATCGTGGGTGTGGGACACCCGCAGCATCATCATGCATGTGAACCTGAGCTAATGCTGAGTCAGCAAGTGTAACATCACATGAATAACCAAAAAGTATGAGAGAGAGAGAGGGAGAGCAAACAAAACAGTATTTCAACCCAGCAAAGACTCCTATACTTGTTGTGATTGCAAAGATTAGCAATTGCTGACAAGCAGAACGTGTTCTTAAGTTCTTTGACCGTGTTGTCCCCCACCACCACGAGGGTGGTGGGGGACGCCCGATTTGACTCCTCACAAATATTCGCAATGTCCTGCAGCAGCATGGCGAGCAGCTCAATGACTAAGCTGGATCCGGCATAGCTGTTTTCTTCCACAATAATGATTCTCAAAGCCCACCCTGCGGCCCATGCCCCATGTACTTTCAATTTAGGTCGAATATACTTCGCAGAACGGTACGCTGTCTTCAGTGTTGGTGAGCGTGGTACCATGTATTTGGCCTCCATGGAAAAATTGTTCATCTCAACACCAAAGTTCGATCCACAAGCTTGAACATGCAAACATTCCAAAATTTCAGCACAGGAGCCTGGTCCGCACCGTCTGTGACGACGGTGACCGTTCTGCTCATCAAATCACAGGACAGATCACGCAAACTCCAAAAGCAGCAGCGATCGCTGTATTGGTCGATGAGGTGGGATCTGTACATCCGTAATGCTCCCAAGCGTATGCCCATGTCAAGCTCCCTGTCCTGATACCTTGCAAGGTGAAAGATATAGCACACAGGTTGAAAAGCTCACTCCTCAAGACTCAAAACTTTCTGGTTGCTGTGCAGTTGCTGTGCCTTCAATTCCTGACAAACGTCACACTGCGAGAATGCTGATGCATCCCTGAATTTCAACACCTGCGTCCACTTTGTGTTGAAGCGACGGATGAATGTTGAGTACCTTGGCTTCACTATCAACAGCAATGAATCATTGATATGTTTGGCCAAGCATTCAAACACTTATGAGTTGAACCTGGTCACGAAGCTTGGGAAGGAATGCTATGTGCTCCACACCATGCAGCATAAAATTGGTACAAATCCCACACTGTACCAGGAGGTAAATATTTGCGCACAAGCTTCCCAACATCCTCAGTGGATTTTTTGATACAGACGTGTGTATATATATATATTTCTTCACTTTTGAGCAAAAGCATACACATGACAAAGGACAAATTGCTGCAAAGGCACATGAAAGGCGTTTGTTTGTGTCACATTGAACAAGAAGCAAGAGTTCGACTGCAAGAAGTGAACCAGGTCGTCATCATCTTGTTCAAGCTCTGAGCTGTATTCCACCCCTCCGTTCCATTGGTCAGTATCAGAATCTTCTGCAGGTCCAGGTTTGGTCTTGCCTTTGGCAGCTCCTTGACGAATGAACCTGGGAGATGGCAGTGGTGTCTTATCTAGTTTCTTGGTTGGAGTAACATGTCCAAAGACCAAAATGAAATTTACTGAGAAAGCATCAAGGAACTTATTGGGCAGTGGCTCTGCCACTGACCCATAGAGAACCAAGAGGAAAGAGTCAATGCTTGCTGTCAACAAAGATGGTTTGCTAGGCTTCTTGTTGCTGGCGTATCTCTGATCAAAACAGCCAATTTTATCAACTCTGTGGGAGCTGATTCCAATAATGTGTTCAAAGCATCGTCGGCTC